AAATTCCCCCCCCTCAGAAAAAAAAAATTTTTTTTTCCCATTTTTTTTTTAGTCATTATTTGTAAACCCTCCCCCCCAAAAAAAAAAAAAAAAAAAAAAAAAAAAAAAAAAAAAAAAAATCTGGATATAACTCAAAAATAGTAAAAATATTTCACTTAAGCTAATCCGTAAACTCTTTTAGACTCATTTTTTTTAAGTTGGGGGAGGATCAGGGAAGAGTAAAGTCATCTTTTTCTTTTAAAGTTTTTTTTCTCCTCAAAACTTTTTTCTTTTTTTTTTTTTTTTTTTCTTTTTTCTTTTTTTTTCCTTTTGTTTTTTCTTTGATCTCTTAAAACTTACTTTCAAAAGAACTGACTGTCTCAGCTAATGGTTGAGGACAACCAGCAAAGTTGGGGGAGGGGGTCTGGAAAGTCAATTTGGAAAAATTAAAAAATTTATTTACTTAGAAAAATAAAAAACAGTAAAAAGTAAAACAAAGTTAAATAATAGTAACCATGGGGAAGGGTTAAGAAGAAGAAGTCACATTTTTTTTAGTCTTTAAAAGAAATTTTATACTTTTTAGATGGTTTTACCTTTTAAAATTTTTTTTGGTTTTTTTTAGAAGAGGAGGGGAAAACAAATAAACTAAAACTCTCTGGTACTTAAATAAGTAGATCTTTTATTTCTGAAATGCCATTGCATGTTCTCAAAGAACATTACTCGGCGGTCGGATTCGGCTAAAGAGGATGGCGGATACTCTGAGCACATATGAACGTAATCGGGAGCGATACCTTCAAAGATGCGCATAACATCTTCTTCAGTATAGATACACACGGCGGATGGCGGGTTGTGGTCGTCGAGAAGGAGTCTTTGAACCCCCTGATGGTTCAAACCGATATAAGCCGAGATTGGGGGATAGGCAGATGAAGCAGTGGACGAAGCGTCGGACGAGGTTGAAGGCGCTGAGCTAGATTGCGAAGACGGAGCCGGAGAACTAGAATTCGAAGAGAGGTCGATCGGAGCCGTGGTCTTTAAGAAAGGGACCGGGAGTCCGGGGGGAAGCTCCTGCAAGTTTGAAATGAAACAAGTTAATCAAATCAGTAACCAAATCAACAAGGTAGAAGAGAAGAAAGCAAGAACTCACCGGGTCGTTCTCATTCCACGCGACACAAACGAATGGATGAGGGTCGTTATAAATACTTATTCTGGGGACTGCGGTGGGGATTGAGGACTTGAAAAAAGGGAGACACAATCAGTGTCAAGATCAACAACAAACAAACAAACAAAGGAATGGAACTTACGAGGTCATAACGTTCTTGAGGATCGTAAACGAAATGCCATTTCGACTTGAGGGGGTAGTAGTAGCCTGGGGTTTCCACGATTTCCATCCCTTTTGGAATAACGATCTTCTCCATGGGGCCAGTACTAGTCGACTAGAATCGAAGGAAGACACACAATGAATCAGGATTGAAAAGGGGGGCTAGTTTCAGGAGAAAAGGAAGGGGAACTTACTCGAAAAAGATTGTTAGACAGCACGGGGTCAATCGGCGCCTTCCCATTGGAACCACTAGCGGTTCTGGTAATCTAAAATATCAGTCAGAAGCGAAGTCAGATCATGATGATACACACAACAAAACGAAGAAAATCGACTTACTGGTTTGGCCTCTTCAATGACTGGTGGATCCACAACCATGTCATTTGGAGATGGTTGAGAAGCTTGAGAGGGTTCTGGCTCCCAAGCGGGACTCCATTGATCGCGATCGGGATAGTAGCGAATCCCATTCTGGACATAGTCATACTAAGATCGAATCAACACACACATTAGCATCAAGAAACAGACTCGTCAAGAACATAAGAAACTTATCACTTACTCCGATCAGAGGCTCGGAGCGCATGTCGTCAAGTGTGTAGTCCGGGGTGGAGTAGCGAGAAGACATCTTTAATTTTGTTTGATGGAAGGAGTTTTGAAGGTGAAGTTGTGACTGGGGAGTAGGGAATGGGCTTTGGATGAAGCTGACTGATGAAGGAAGTGGTTGAGGAGAAAGAGGAACCGACAGTATGCCAAGGGTATTTATAGAAAAACGAGGACCCCTCGACTCGGACCTACCAATGCCGGGACTTCTCCATGATCGATTCAAGACCAGTGGCGAAGGCTTTCCTTTTCGAACGGTTGAGGCCATCCTACGTTCCTTTATTCAAATCGGCGAGTGTCTTGGATACAAAAAGAGGATTGATTTGTATTCAAGATGACTAGGCTAAACCATCGAAGCACTACTTAAAAAACAAAGGAACGACGATCGAAAACAATCGTCAACTAAAGAGACTACACGAGACTAGAGAAAAGAAAGAGAAATCCGAAATAAAAGAAACTCACCTAGGTTGCTGCAGCTATCCGCCAGACTCGCCGCGGAGATGGTCTAAAAAAACGATCGACGACTATCCAGAACAGAGGCAGCGTTTTTTTTAGATCAGTAATAAGAAGATTGTTACAAATAAAACAGAAACTAGAATACAGGGGAAAACTTACCGGCGGGGAAGGATCGTCGACTAGTTTGAGGATCGCCGATAGTCGAATCGATGAGAAGTTGGAAGAAGTTTGGAACGAGGAGGACCCACGGAGAGGCTGGCGCGGAGTTCTAAGGCCGATCGGACCCTGTCACGATCTGTGACAGGGCATGGAAAGTTAAACCGGGCGCGCTTGGATTACTACATCACATAGACTGCAACCTTCAAATCTACCATAGTCGAGTCAGTAAGCACAGCGACATTCAGGATGCTGCGAACACGAGTTCGAGCCTCACTTTGTGTCAATTTTGGATAACCCAACCTATCAGCATATATCTATTGAGTGCCCCCTCTCTTTTTTGAGGTCAAAAGATTAAAACCTAGAAAATCATGGTTTTTTTTTCCTAACTCTATAAAATTCCATGAGTAAAACATTACACAACTTACAAAATTCACAGTTTAAACTGGGTTCATAAACCCTCATCTGGCCCAATTCCTACTAAGATTAAGTCAAAAACACCTTGGAATTTTTTTACTTTCATCACTCACGGATGGAATAATCTCAAGACAAAACAACTGAATAATCAACCACAACAGCTTATCAAGTAAAACTCTGAAACAAATCAACACTACGTAACAAAATCTCATCAATTCTTCGCCAATCAGGACTCCACGGATGATTTCACCAACTCCTCAACACGCTTCAAGATAAATCCCAACAATACACGACCAAAAATGTTCTTTTTTTTATTTGTAATATTAGCTCCAAAACACAGTCAGAATCAGAATTGACTGGGGACAGCCAATAAGTTGGGGGAGGATGTGGTAAATAATACTGTGTTTCTACGCAGAAAATATAAAAATTTCTCATTATCTCTTTATTCATTCAAGATATAGTAAAAATGACATAAAAAATGGAATCCTCAGGTAAAATAACCCCTAGTCACCCACTACAACCATACCTTTATCTCTTATAGTTTAGAAGTTACACATATTTCAACCTGTCACGGGATATTTCTTGGATTCTGCACTCTAGCCATAGTCATTATGAATACAGGATGCATATTGCATACTGAATACCTTTGTAGTAAATTGAATACCTTTACGTTATTTTGAATCCCTTTGTATCAGTGATATTGCATATATGCATCCCTTTGATCATACATATGCGTCCCTTTATTCATTCATATGCATCCCTTTGTAGTAGTATCATTCAGCCTGTACCCTGGGGCCAAAATCCCTCACATTTGTCTATATAAGGAGGCCTCTGCCTGCCAGTTGTTCCCTCCATCATCCCACCAGTGGACCAGATCATCTCAACCACCCTTATAAAGAAATCCATCTTATATATTATTTCAGAACTACAAGTCATAGCCACATTACAATTTCAGAATTATATACATTGAAATACAGATTTAACACTTTCATCATCATCATAAACCAAAAGTGCCCTGAACCATATTCATCAACAACAACTTCATCAATATAACCAACAGTCAATAACATCTTTATACCCTCACACATATCAATCGGCAGCTTCATCTTGAACTTATCCCTATCACCATATATAAAATTGCCAAGCTAAGCTTGGTGGTCTTGTTATTCTGATAGTATAGAAGGGCAGAGCTTGCAACTCCAACATACCCTTCTCCATTCAGCAAAAGGGTTTCTTAACCACTTTTGAGTCTTACAACGGCCATGTGAAAGGTCACTTGGATGCTTATTTGAAGGGGCATCAGTGCGACCTGTGATTCAGGGCTCGGGAGGCACTGGTCTGGTTGCAAACTCCGAGGCTGGTATCGTATCATTCCAGCCACCATCGGCCCCTCGGACTCCTCAAAATCTTCTGCGATTTGCTTCTGCTGGGTCTGGATTGTCCCCTCTGCGGCAGCGGCTGTTGGGGTCATCCGGGGGGGTTGCTTCTGACTTGGGATCTCCTCGGCGCGAATCCACACGGGTCGGGTTTGGGCGGGGCTCAGCCAATAGCCCAGTGATTGAACCGGGAGTCAAGGACCACAAGCTGAAATCCATCATTGGGCTCTTCAATTCATCGCATGAGTCTTCCGCTGGTACGCCTTGTGGCTGGTGTTACATCTCCAAAGGTACTGTGTCTCATCATGCGGGTGGTTGTGACTTGATTAAGGCCAAGTGTAGCACTTGCTCAGGTGCGTGTGTCATTTGTTGGTTTGGTGATTCAGAATGACTAGCTGATTATTTGGATTGCTTATTTGGACTTTTGGTTGACAGGGGAACATGATCGCTTTGAGTGTCCATTTCCTTCCCTCTCAGACGCGATAAGATTGGCCAGGTCAGGGACATCTTATACCTTCTGTGATGCCTGTAACCTCCCTTCAGGTGCACATGATCCCCTCCTTTTCCATCCATCTGGGAGGATCGGCATGGGATGTGAAAGTGGTTTCAAGGGTGTAGCTCTTCAGGTGTCTTTTGTTATTCTGGCCGAGTATCCTGAGGTGCTCAGTATGTGGGCACCCGATGCTTCTTCCCCAGAGGCTTTTATTCATTGGCTCGCAACTCGTGAGCCATCAAGTCCGTGGCCGAACGTTATCTCTCTCTTCTTGCAGGCGGATGAATATTGGGGTATCTCCTCAAGATTGTCCAATGTGGTCCCTCAATCACTTCCTGGGCTCCATTCTGGCGTCTCTCCAACAATACCTCAACACTTGCGTCGTCAGCTGCCCTCGGTCCCTGCTTCAATGTCCCATATTTCCGGTATTATGGACCACCTGGCTTCCCAGCTGCCCTCATCTGGGGGGGGCTGCTCGGCCATGGTTTCCAGCCTCAAGGCCCGTGGTCCTCAACCACGTCTGGGGTTGGGGGGATCCTCACCTCACGTCACCTCCAAAGGTTTGCAGGTTGAGAATTGGCAAGCCTCTCCCCGGGCGACAACGGCCAGCCTCCACATCCTTGAACAGCAAAGGATCCAGTCATCCGGTTTGGTTTCTCAAAGTACTTTAGAGGCGCAGGCGGGGGTTAGCCATAGAGACCACGCTCTCACTGTTCTGGAGTCGGTGGCAGCCGCTTTTGTATCTAAGGCAGCCACTTTGGGTGGCGAGATTTGTGGTCAATGTTTTGTGGAGAATGGTTCTTATTCTGCACACCAATATTGTCGCCGTATGAACGGGAGGTGCTTCAAGTGTCTGGGTGTGTACCTGCTGATGGATCTCTCTGGCGTCTCTCTTGCACATGCTGACATTGGTGGCCTTGGTTTTAGGTTCTCACAGCTCGGAAAAGTGCCAGCGAACTCATTTCTCCGCTTACCTGACATCTGCAAACAACAGAAGATCCTTCCAGGTGTGTATCGGCTGTGGTTTGCCCTCTGGGGATGCGATTTACGACAGGTTTCACCCAAACAGGAAGATTGGCCGTGCTTGTGAGAGTGGATTGAAGAATATTCCATTCGTTGTGGCCATGCATTGTTATTACAATCTGGCCCCTTGGCTCGTGGATTTGACCGGGGATCGACTGGAAGAGGAGGGCTTTCTCAGATGGCTGGCCGCCACCACCGAAAACATTGCAGCTCCTTGGCCCAATGTCATCACCGTATTTTTGAGGTTCATTGAAACACAGGGTGCATCGGCAGTGTTCTTGGGGTCTCGCTTCTGAGGCTGCTCTGGTGTGCTGTTTGTTGAGTTTTAGGCTTCTTTTTCGGCCTACTCCTCCCTAAAATCGCCCTCTTTTCTTTTTATCTTTTTGCCCCTTTTTTTGGCTTGAATCTTCCTGAAATAGACTGAATTATAGCTCTCCATGGCTGGTTTGTTGTTGAATCTTATGCCTCTTAGTAGGCTTATTAGAATTGACAATAGCAATTTCTGAACAACTCCTGTCTGATTTAGGGGCTTCTTTCTTTTGCTATTTTCATTATTTGGTTCTGAACATCTGATTGTCTGGAATGAACGACTCTACATTTGTGGGAGATTGTTTGTTTTCCCGTGATTATTTGTATTAGTTTGTCCAAAAGAGACTGAGAAGACATGTCCGGTTATTTCTTCATTGATCACATTAAATTCTTCCTCTCAGTTTTTATTCCAAATGCTTTTTATTCATGCGTTTTCATACTACATTTTGTTCACTTGTATTTAGTCTACTGAAGCGAGCCTACCCACATTGAATAAGAAAAGATCAGTTCATCAGACTCCTTTCCATGAAGCTTTCCCATAAATAAGTCCTTTCCTATTTTGGCACTCATGCTCTCACGTGTGTGAGTCTCAAATTTCAGGGTTAAGTGCTTATGTTCCTGGCTATGTTTTCATGTCTGTTTTGCATTTGGCCTTGTTTACCCTGATGTTACTTAGTGGATAAATTGTGGTTTATGATCTCATTGGGACACCTTTATATGCTTACCTAGAGGGAAACAATTAATATCAGTATGTGGATACTCCTTTAAGAAGTATGATGGGTATCGGAAAACTCCAGTCTTATATGGATTCAGTATTAGATTGAATATGGTCCTGGCTCCCCTGGTCAATCAACCCGTAAACATTCGTCCTGGGTTAGTGTCCATGCTCTGGTAACCTTCTGATTTGGGTTGGGGTTAGCTGGTCATGGGTTAGGGTTATGAGGTCCTTCCTGTGGAAATTCATTCTCAATTCTAGCCCTTGATACTTGTGATTAATGCGGGATGCTCGGCACCTAGCAAGGAAGGTACCTAGGGATGTAAAACTATACACTGATCGCTATTATTTGACCTTGTAATAGGTTTAAGATATGGTTTAGGTGATGTAGGGGTAAAGGTTATGAATATGAGAACGGTTGGACGTTTTGACAAGTTGATGATCGTCTTTTATGGTTCTCCAGCAGAGGGTCAATGTTGACAATCTAGTACATATAATGATGGCTAAGATGCCCATAAGGCATTTGAAGCCCTATGGTCCATCAGTGACTGTAATAGCCTTTCTTTGGATTTTCAAATAAACAAAATATTAACTAATTATTACTGATCATGGTATTAAGACCCACATAAGGTGATCATTATTGTTCTAAATATTGAACTCAACCTGATCATCAACGAGTTCATATCCATCACGTTCTCTATACAACAAATGCACGGTTACACGGCGCCCAGTGTACAAAGGGTGAGATGATACGGTCTGTGAAATAAAGATGGCAGGCTGCTTTTGTGGCCACTGCGGCTGGCTTGTTTGTTAGGTTCTTTTATGATGTTGTCTGAAGTCAATCAGATTGAGGTTGTGGTTTTTGGATCCATGCGTGTTTTTCGCAAGGAATTCATGCTGGGGGATCAATGGCGTGGAGTTATGCTCATGTTGATATTTTGGTGACCACATGTCTGGATCCTTGGTGTTGAAATGTGGTTAAGTCTCGGTAGTCCGCAATGAACCATTCTAGACTATCATCATCGATCATAATCTGTTCTCAGATTAGGTTAGGGTGAGGAGTTCAACCAGGTGACTCTGGCATCACCCTAGTGTCCGTCTTTATTTCATCCTCAAACCACAAGCTCCGCTTGACTTCTTAATCACCGAACCAACTTGGCTTCGGCATGAGTGCATCCTCGACTCCTCTTCTCAATAACTCACTCAAGCTTGCGAGTCTATCAGTAACTGGACTTTGCATGTCCTCATCTCCCCTTGCATCAAATGCACTAGCTTTAGCTCTTTGGCATTTGCCCTTCGGCTTTTCTTACTTCGTTTTCTCTGATTGATCCGGCTCAAACACTGGGTTTCGGGTGCTAACAAGTGCAGAGGGAATGATCACAACTCATGGTTTGTTCGCTCCGATCGATCTGCCAATCCTTTTGTTTCTCAGGCCTGCGTGTCCTAGGTCCGCTGGCCTAGCTTCTCTATCTTAGTGGTCTGTTGCACACTGGAATAAACTTGAAGGGGTTTGTTTGAGGGGTAGTTTGTTTTCTTGAAGCTTCTTGATTGTTCTGCATTTTCTGGTGGCTGTTTTGCTTTTGGATGTGGTTTGGTTTGTGGGGATCAATACGTCCCGTGTGTACATTTATCAGGCGAATGTTCGCTATCCATATCAATGGGGACAAGAAACCCTGCTGTAGGGAAATCTGAAACGAGACAATGATTAGGGTCTGACTGGCTGAAGCAGGATCCTTAGGCTGCTATGACAAGAACCTCCTATGTTGTTGGAAAATCAGTCAGACTATGGTCAAGGCAGCTATTGAAGACATTCCACTTTTCACTCTAGACAACGATACACTTGGAAGGAATCAAGTGTAAAAAGGACTCAATCTCGACGAACTCTCTGACGGACGCATTTCGCCTGCTGGGACACTGAGGGAGAGAAGGGACATACTACTTGGGGCCATGCGATCCTGTGAACTGGACACATCTATTCAGGGGAATGGAAAAGACGTGTGAAATATCCGGAAATATATGATATACCATTGGGCCTCATCGAAGGATTCCATCCACGCATGGATGTTCGAAGGGCTCTTGCGTCTGGGATTCGACGTGCGCATCATTCTGTGTTTCATTTTCCATCTGAAGTCGGACCTCTCTCGATTTCATGTGACAGGCATTGATCTTGATCCAGATATCATGACTTAGCCAATCCTGGGGAATCTTCCCTCATACATGTAACACCTGGCTGAAAAGATGACTCAATCGGAGTGATCTTCATCTCCTGAACGAGCATTGGTTCTTCTCAAGATGGATGATGACTATCAAAGGATGAAATCCTTGGACATCGGCGCTTGTCCTAATCCGAACCCTCGCGTCACTGGTTTTACAGACTCGGAAGATACTTGTGGTAAGAGATGGGCGCTTACAGCCGCTGGGGCCAAACAAAAATGAGGCAAACTGTGGGGAAATTGAACCAATAGGGTTGGGCCACTTATTTCGACAGGCCAGGCTTGAGCGAGGTTGCTGTTTTCTGGAAGGAGAATTCCAAACGCACAGGTACGACTGTATTTTTGTCTATGTCTGCTAACTGATCTGATTTTATTCTGAACTGATGCTCTTCAAGGCGTCTGGCACATAAACATTGGGGCGCGTAAGAGGAAGGTGTTTCTTCTGTCAATGGGCCTTGATGACATGGTTGGGGCTATGAACTGTCCTGATTTTTCGGTGATTCCCAACACACAAATTGAGACAATCAACAGACGGCCTATTCAGGTTACCTAAGGTCATCTGAGACTGTCACAACCACGACTGCATCTGTGTAGCTGTTGGCTAACCCTACTCTCCTTGAGCCCTTGGGTCCCTCAAAGCTTCAAGTCGAGCTGCCCCTGTTAGGCCGCAACTCGGTCTTGGTTCTCTATTGGCTCATGCACAAGTGTGCTTCTTAACGTGGTCTCAATACCGACACTGGCTGCAGAGGCGCGTGTGGGACACTCTTTTGTGTATGCTCATGACGCGAAAATGACCTTTCCAACAAGACTGGGAATACTGTGTCCAGACTGGCACTTATCCGAACGGGTCCATGGTTGTATCGCAACATATGTCTGCCAATGATCGAGCTAAGATCATATAGGGTTATGGGGACGTCAAAGAGGCGAGTTTCTCGAAGGTGATGATGGAAAAGGGGTTAGGAGCAATGGGGGGCTATTGGTCCTACAGCTAGCCGTTTGCTGGACGGTTAGGAGGGATGGTGGCAATTCCTGAGCAACTTGGATGACAAGAATCAAAAGGTCGTTTGGTTGCTGGGCCATCTGGCCAAAGGGAAGTCGGACCGGATATAGGTCAGAGGACACCTATCAAAGGGCCGTACGGAGGTGACACCTTGGCCTCATATTGAGAGCTTTGTTCTTTGGCTGATTGTCAAGAAAAAAATGCAGTGCGGATCACGGACATTATCGGTTGGTAGGCGCCGCCCAAATTCTTGGTTGAAGAAGTTACTTCTCACAACATAGCCCGGCTGGCTCTGCAGGAGGTACTCTCTGGAGTCTGCTGGGGCTCCCCACTCAAGTTTATTAATTTTAATGGCGAGCCTGGGCTAGACGTCTTATCTGTTGAACATTTGCAAGGTTGGGTCGACAGGGGTCGAGCCTAACTGAGTGCCTGATGGCTAGGACTAATTGAGGGGACTGCTGGTGGGGAGGGCAGTGATGGGTCGTGCCTGACGGAAGAAGGGGAAGTGGAGGAGGAAGAAGAGGTAGTGGAGGGTTAGAGGAATAGGACCAAGACAACTAAATGGACGAATAAGAGTCTGAGGAAGAGGTTGACATCCATGCGCCAAGGCCTTCTGGCATGCGTGTGCATGGGATGATTCCTTTGTCCTCTAGCTCACATTCTGGTACTGAAGTCAGAAGTAGTCATTGGGCTGTGCCGGAGGATGAAGAGACCAATCCTCAGATGTCTGATTCAGATGGTGGGGATTAGGAGATACAAGGAGGTCGCCGTGAGCATCCTTGAGTCCTCAACAGGTCAAAGGTCAAGAATTTTTGATGAGGTAACACTATGCCTCCCACTTGGCCATTGTTATTGTCAGTTTGAGTTTGACCCTCCCAAAATGGCAATGCAATAAGCTAGTGTGTCCTTGAGGTTGGGTTAGGCCCTCACACGTCTTGCCTCGGTTTAACAGGGGTTGCATAAGTCAATGAAATCTTCACTGTTCTCAGGTGCTCATTTGAGCTAACCACTGATTCACATGTGGTGTGCTCAAATCAGCATAGGTGCAAAGAGGGTGGAATAATGGCTGCTTCATTGATATCATCATACCCACTGCGACTTGTGATTGATAACATCATAACGACTTCCGTGACGGTTGGCGGGTTAGGGTTAGTTGGGGTTTGTTTTGGATAACTAGATGTTCAGTTGTTCGAAGTTGTGGTTGGCAGAATAGGAAACCTTATTATTAACTCTTCAGGATAATGCTTTGGGTCACTTCCAGGACTTGGGGGTTGGCAGGAGTGCAAATAGGGTGGGGTGTTGATCTCAACTCATTCTCTTGGACTTGATTCTGGTACTAGTGTTTGATAAGGTGGGTGCAAGTTTGGGAATTTCATATTCAGCCGCAGTGGAACATTGGCTTCTCAGGTACTCTTGAGTCATAATGTGCAATCCACTTGCTTGACTTGGAAGTGGAAGGAAGTGGGGACATGGTTAGGGTTTCATCACATCATACTCACTAGTACTTGGTCTTGTGAGAACTGGACAGGGACTTGATCAAGATTGGATTTAGCATGAGTGGGACTCTTGTCAGATACTATTGGCTGATAACGACTGATTCAATTCGGTGACTTTGGGTGTCGGGGAAGTGCTTTGATGGTTACTTTTATGGATCCGCTGGTTTACTGGGACAGGTAACTGGAAAGGGTTTTGGTAGATAGACAACCCCTTGTGCGAGGTTCAGCATCCCTCGGTTGGTTTCATGACTTTGATGTTGGCGCGAGTGGTGGGGTGGTTGTGTTTTGGGTTAGACATAGTATGCGTCTGTGAAAACAACTGACCCACTGCCTCAACTTAAGTGGGGGTGGGAGTGCAAGGCTTCTGACTTAGTTTGCTTTGTGATCGGCTGATGCTATCCCGCGCTTTTGAGGGTCACGGAAGTGCTAAGGAACCATGGTTACTGCTATATAATAGCTGTTTGACTGACTTGTGACTGGGAATTGTATTCCAGAGATACAGTGCCACTTTGGAATGGGTGAAGTTGTTGGCAGTGCAGCTCTAATGAGGGACTCGTCTTTGGTAAGGAGTTGGTCACTTCTGTGGCTTAGGTACGTGTGATTGGTAGCAACATACTATCATCAGCATCTTTGGGCAGGCGGGGTTCATTGGTTATCAGGTCAGGTGCATTGATAACATTGAACTTAAGATTAGATCGGCTTCAGTGGTAAGGAGTGATAGGTGACTTGGGTTTGATAAGAATTGATGCCCTTGGTTGGCTTGGAAGTGGCCTGGGGTTCAAGATGCTATTAGTTTATATGTATATTTAGATAATTAGTGAAATCTCAATTAGTCTCTTGGCAAAAGATATTGGAAGGCAGGAAAGCTTGTGTCCTCCCTATGTACAAATCAGAATATTTGGAGGTCATAATATTACTGTCTCGAGAGTAGTTTACGTTGCTAGTAACTAAAGGGTTACAAGGGACTCCCCAGGGCCAGGGTAGCAATATTCTGTCAAGTTATATTGCATAATAAGCTCCATATTGCATAATAAGCTTCATATTGCATGATAAGCTTCATATTGCATGAAGTATTGCATTGCATGATGAATTACATTGCATACGTCCCACTTATCAGCGAGGAATTGCATATCAAAATGCTTGTGCAAAATCCAACAAAGTTAACATATTAAACCCCCAAACTGTATGATTTATTTAGCCCCCAAACTGCATGATTTTAATCCCACAAAGCCAATGTCTGAAACCCCCAAACTGTATGTTTTATCCCCTGAACTGTATGTTTAACCCCCAAACTGTATGAATTATCCCCCGCAGAAACTGTATATCAAATGACCCGCATAATTTTTTTTTTGGTGCCAGGGGGTTTTGAACCCGTGACCTCCTCAAAAACAATGCCAAGCCGCTGTCTAACCATTGGTTTATTTCAACTTGGTATGTTTTTGTTCCATGAGGGAACACAACCACAGGGCCTCACTTTTTCACTTGGTCACTAACAATTCAAACTAACATACAACACTTTCAAACTACCTCAGCTTCCACCATTAGAGCCATGAAAACATATTCCATCACAAAAAAAAACAAACAAACATCCATTCCTCTCCTCACCAACTTATACACCCACCAACCACATTCCTCCTCCAATAACCAACAAACATGGACAGTTCAACCCAATTTTATACAACAATCTGTTAGTATTTCAGCTCTCTTTTTTTCTCTTTCTCATCATAAGCATATTTCCTAGCACACATTCCGGTCATTATTAGAATAAATTAATACTCACTTCATCACATAACCTCCATGTTTTCTTATCTATTTACAGCTTGATTTTGCTGATCCAGAAATACAAATCATTCATTCTTGTACCTTTTCCCTCATCAATCAACACAATCAACCACCTTCTCCCTCTGATGTAAAAAACCAAGCTTATCAACACAACTCACCCAACCAACAGCAACCACCATCTCAAAACACAACAAAACATTCCATCCAAACACAATTCACCTCTTCCAAGTCACCCCACCACATTCTCCCAACAACCAGCAATAAAAAATCATCCAATCAGAAAAGATATAGATAATAACTTCCACATTTTAAATCAGCCAACAACAAATTAACAACACCAGAGTCAACTTGCACAACAACACACAATCAATGCTTCTCTTTCCACCAATAAACAACAATTGTCCTCAGAAATTAAATCAAATTTACTAAAATTTTCCCATTCACCAACTAAAACCTCAATAAATAAAAATACATTGTTCCTCCTGTGGACTCTTCCACTGCTCCTACAAACCAGAAATTCAAAACAACATAATCCTTCATGCTGCATCAACTGACTTGTAGAGCAAACCAGTGCAACAAGTGCTCAGATGGTCTATAGTTGACAAGATCCGCAGACTCAAAGGTGATGGGCTGCCGAACTTGCCATACAAATACCAGAGCTCCCGTTGTGCTGGCTGGTCCAAAAAGGTATTTGATGAAGCTGATCAAATTCTTTGTTTCTCCCAACATCAACTTTCTTCCAAAGTAAAACCACCTTTTTACCCCCATTCTCAACCCCCACACCAAATATTTTTCTCAATTCTTGAGCCCCTCATTTCAATTTTGTCAATCAAACCCAATGAATTGTTGCTGTAATTTAATACTGGCTTTTGAATCCAGGTTGAATGTTTTTTTAATTTTTACCTTTCTGACTTGTATCAGTTCATTTTTTTTTCTCACCCATGAATTCAAAACAATGCACTTCAGACATTCCTGAAATATCTTTAACCCATTGATGCTAGCTGTGTAAGTAAGCAATCAAACCATATCTGGAGAAATCTTCATCTCAGTAAGGTCAAAACAAATATAAACAAGAAAGGAAAAAAACCAAACATGACTGAAAGGTAAAAGGTTGTTTGCAAAATTTATGAACAAGAAAAATTAAAGAATCAAAAGCAGAACTGGAAAAAAGAAACATGAATCAGTGATTGTTCACAAAATTTCAAAACAAAGAAATGCTTACACAGTCACAAGTGGTGGTGACAATAAAAAACACCAAATCTTCCTTTCCAACTGTAAATGAAGTAATTCCTGGGAACCAAGCGTTCATCATCTTCATCAATGTAACGTGGATTGAATTCTTGCAAGTTTGCAATTCCATCATGAATCCAAACAAGTACAATTCTTGCCCGATATTTGTTTGATACTTCCCTCAATAGCCCTGGAATCTCTGAGGAATG